GTTTACTTGAAATGGAAAAAGGTTGTGGATGGGCATTTGGAGACAAATATCCTGATCCACATCATCCAACATTTACTCATCTTAAAGATGTTTATAAGTTAAATGAATCGGATTATAATGGACGTGTTACTGTACCTGTTCTCTTCGATCTTAAAGTAAAGAGAAAAAAATGACTTCATTAAATGATATTTTAAATAGTTGTAAATCATTTTAAGTATTGCATATATATATATATATTCCGAAATTTAGCAGAAGATTTTCTAACTGAAAAGATTTAATCAAACATCTGTAGAATTGCCAAAAAAGTGTATATAGAAAACGAAACATCAAGGAAATTAGTTAATATATGAAAGTTTTAGGGTATTAGTGACTTCTTCGAATTCTAAATGAGGATCTCAATTCCTCTTGAAAACATAGTCGATGATGTCTTTAAAAACCTTTTTTTTATAAAAAAAGAGCTTAATTAGATACTGACGTTTCATGTTGTGTATTGGACGTCAAATACTAAAAAACCTTTTCAATGTTTGTTAGTATATAGAATTTTGCCTTATTTCATAAGATATAAAGGTTTCCAATAAGCAGTGTGATAAATAAGGATTACTAACTCTTTTTAGGTGAAAGCTAATGGCGATATCACTGGGAGAGATAAGCCTCTCAAAAACTCTCTGAGCTCCCATGATCACAAGTCCTGGCGCCGCTACTAACATATAATAGCATAATGTCATATACGCAAAAAGGTTTGAATAAATTTTTATCAAAGCAAATGTCTATGATTTTGCTTACGTAGGTGCTAATGAAACTTAAAATATAACATAAATTGTGACTTGTAGGAGTGACCATCTTATTGGAATTAAATGTTGGAAAGTTAGCCTTTGGATAAATAACAATCAATAGAGCTTTAAACAGACTATACACCCACATAATTCAGTCTAAGTTCTTTTCTTGTCAGAACGAAAGTATACTATAAAAAATTTTCATTCGGAAGTTATTTTGAACATTAGAAATGTGTAGAATAAGGGTTAGAAAATTTTTCTTTATCAAAGCACAGAGTAGGAAAAAAACATACCCCGCACATCTTTTTTTTGACATTTCTCAATTCTACTGGAATAATTTCAAACAATAATTTCCGAAAAACATTCATATCATACGTTTTTCTCATTATTTGTAATTGTAATCTTCTTATATTTAATTAATTGAGAACATTTTGATCCTAATACAAAACTATGCAAAAGGAAAGAAACTGGTAAAGATGTTTATTTTGTTTTTTAGACTCAAAAAATAGTTAATAATGAATCATCAGAAATTATTCGCATGCTCAATTCTGAATTCAATAAATTTGCTCGTCATCCAGATTTAAATCTTTATCCTGAAGCACTTCGTTCACGTATTGATGAACTTAATGAACAAGTTTATTCAAAATTGAATAATGGAGTATATCGAACTGGTTTTGCTAAATCTCAAGAAGCATATAATGCTGCATTTGAAGATGTTTTTTCAATGTTAGATATACTTGAAAATATTCTTTCAAAACAACGATATCTAATTGATAATAATCAAATAACTGAAGCTGATGTACGTGCATGGACAACATTATTAAGATTTGATCCAGTATATTTTACACATTTTAAATGCAATAAAAAAATGATTTCAAAAGATTATCCAAATTTATACGGATTTGTACGTGAAATATATCAAATGGATGGAATAAAGCAAACAGTTGATTTAGATGAAATCAAAAAACATTATTATGCATCACATTTAATGATTAATCCAACAGGAATTATTCCACTTGGACCTGAAATTGATTATGATATGCCACATGGAAGAGATCGATTTCAATAAAAAAAACCAACAACATTTTTTCTTCGAAGGAAATGGAAAAAACTATTAATAGTTGCTTTTTTCTAGCTATTTTTCAATGATTAAACTTTATTCTTACACATTCTGCATAGCAAATATTTAGCGTATTTAAAAGTCGATTCATTTCTTAAATATATTTTTGATCATGTCTAACATTGGATAAAACTTTTTTTTTCATTTCCTTTTCGTACAGTACGAGCATTATGTTATGTTTGTTCATTAGAAGAAGGTTTCGATTTGTTTAATTAAAATTTCAGGTTCAATCAAACCTTCATCATTGTTAGGTTGTGGCATTGTAATTATTTTCAATAGTAAAAAGAAACGAAAAATCATGTAATTTAATTTAAAGACTTACATATATTGTTCATTTCCTTCAACTTCATGTAAAAATTCACATGCTTTTATATGTAACTAATTGCTGGTTCGACAACACTTTATTGTCGATCATGAATATATCAAAGAAATCGAAAAAAAATCACGTTCTTTCAAGAAATATTCTAGCATTTTTGAAAACTATTAAATTCCATGAAAAAATCTCGTTATGTAAATGTTCAATAACAATTAGAAATCAGTGATCAATACCATACATTGCAATATTATTTATTTTTTATTGTATTTTCCAAACATTTCTAATTCTCATTGACTTGATATTTTGCGCGAAATGTGGTGAAAATAGTAAAGATAATTTCAATCCAAAAATGATATGAAACACTTTTCGAAAAATATTGTATGTAGACGAACTGTAACTCGCCGTTTGATCTCATATTGAGCTCACAAGGAAGTCTCAGTAAGCCTAGAAAAAGGTTAGAAAGATTCATATCAATGGACCTCTCGAGCCAAGTTATGACCGTTTTACTGAATTTTTTACTTACTTTTAAGTGTTTGCTGGAAAATAAAATAACAGAATTCTGACCAGCAATTGTTTCCATACATACGCCTAATTTTCTAGTAAACTCGTTTTTTGTGACATGTCTGTAGCAAGTAAAGATATCCATTGCGGCTGAAAATCTGCCGCCACCGCATCGCATCGTAGTGAGCTATAGAAAAATTTACCATTATCGTGATATTTTTCGAGAAACTCTTCGAAAATCTCTTTCATCACTGTGTTAAATTAGTACAGTTAGATTGAATCCACCAGATTTACCACGGTTCTAACTGTTGCACTTACAGACATCCAAATCGTGTGTCAATTTATACAATTTTATGATCTCCTTAAAAAAGAAGCTACCATAGTGCCGCTGTGATAGTTATATTTGAAACATCTCCTGCGTCACCATGAAATCTCTTCTAGCAAACGACTATTTGTTGGAAATTTAATATTCAGACAAAGGGGCATTCTTTTTCGGCTGAAACTTTCATGATATTGTAGGAGCCGTTAGACTAATCTATGGGCTGAAGTTTAAGTCGAAGTTTCATTATTTGATTGTTCGGTAAATACCTGAGAGTAAGTTCAAAATTCAATAAAAGGATCATTATTTGAGTTCAAAGACTCATAAGCACGAATCATTTTAGGATTTTTCTTATCTTACTGAAGTCTTCCTATAAGTCTAATATGAGTTCAAACGGCGGATTACAATTGGGATTGTCTTCTCGTGAGAGAAATAACGAGCTTATTAGATTCATATAGTAAGGTTTGGAAACAATAACGTGAAATTTTTAATACAGATATTTGTTTGAAATATGATATGTTATAAATTAGAAAGGAAAACTATATTTCTAGAAAAAAATGTGTAATTCATTTTTCATAAAAGGACAAGTAGATTATGGCATTGCATGATAATATACTTTGAAATATCTTATGAATCTGTGTCAAAGTTCTATTTTAACAAGTCACCCATGAAGAACGAAAAACTTACGTTATTTGTTGGTTAGAGCATCGCAAAAAAATCAGTTCTTACATGCAAATATGAAAAAATTTCTTCTTTAGAAAACTCTATGAACTTATTTTCTAGACGAAGTTTCATGGTAGGATGCAGAATATGTAAAAACATGAAATATTAATTGCAACGACAAGAACAAATTGCGGTTTTTATTTTCTTCAGTTTCATTGATAACTTAATAATATCTTCTTCCTTAAATATTCATCACAGGAAGGTTATATAAAAAAAAGTAAAATCAACTGATTTGAATAACTCTTAATATTATGTTATTAAGACTTTCATATTCACAAATGATACAGTCATACATATAACACATTTATGTAAGGATAACATATTGTCGAAAGATTTCACTGTAAGTTCAATCTATAAAAATTTTTTTTTCTGAAATATTAACTGTACTTCGAAACAATCAATTAACTTGTATATGGAAAAGCTTGTCAACACTCTGCTTAGATTCATATAAGGTGCTTAATTGATTTGATGATTGAATTGTTGTTGAAAAGATAATAAGTTACAGTTTATCTTTTCATCAGTACTTTAGTGTATACTATGTCTATGTGTAGATGTGTAAATCGATTGGCTAAGCTGCCGATACCATTCACCGCAAAATTTTTCAAATATGTGAGTCGCCGCCGTGGCATGAAAATAGATCGTAAACTTTTGAAAATATTCGGCGTTCAGGATCAGTGTTTTTGGAAATGTTCTTGTCTAGTTACTCATCTTTTACGTTCTTCACCATCATTTTCTCTTTTTCTATTTCAAAATTTCAGAAAACTAAAAAAAGATTTTTAAAGAAAAAAACATCAAAAACTTTCAGCGATCGTCACCGACAGAAGAAACAATTACAATAGATTTAGTTGCCGCTGGAGTCAATTAATGCATCGGCTGACACCTCTATCTATACATAACTCTTATAATGTAATTATCCGATATATTAAGTTTTGTAGAGCAGAAAATTCTCTAATTTGATCGAGTTGAAAACTTGAGAAAAAAATATTGAGTCATTCATTATGAACAATCTTTTTTTTATGGAACGGTTCACTTAGATCGTTCAATTTCATACGTTGTATATTCTCTCGGACATGATTGATTACTCTAGGGTCTGTATGAAATAAAAGAAAAAAAAAGAAAGTCATTTCTTTCATTCTTTTTTTTTCTATTGTTCTTACGCATTAACATTTATTTGAAAATCTTATTCGTTGCAGCTGCTGCTCTTTTATACTTTCATCGTCAACTTTAGTTTTGTCGCTCACTGATGTAATGGCAACATCAATGCATAAAAATATGCAAGAGACAAAATCTACTGTTGGTTTACTATTAATAATCGGAGAGATTATATCCAATGAACAACGTGATGAAATATGTATTCATCTTAAACAAGCATTTAAAAAAGTTGATAATAATAAATATCATGAAATAAATGATTATTTTAATAATTTAATTCATGAAAATGAATTTCAAACGGGTTTGTCTAAATCGACTTTTCTTTTCTTTTGTTTTCGTTTTATTTAAGGCTTTCGTTTAAAACAGATTGTCAATATCGACAAATAGCTGATACTGAAAATGGTTCAGTAGCAGGATTTGTGTATTTACCAAGTTATCAAACATTATTAAATGTATTGAAAGATCTATTTAGTACTTGTTATCATGTTTGTCTTATTTATTGTGGTAAGATGTGGTTTTTCGAATTTCTTTGATAAAGAATGTTCTGTTTTTCATTTTGTTATAGGTCAACAAATTGATTCTAATGGTGCTTTGATTTTATCTGATTCAATATTTACGTGCGATACTGTTTATAGTTTATTCGAAGAAAATTCTTCTTATCTTGTTCAAGATCTTCAAATGATTTTACCATTTGTTTCAAATCAATGGACAAAATTATCAAATAATTATTTAGAAAAAAAATTAAAAAATATTCAAATTAATGACTTATCTGGTAAAATAGATGAAGAGAATTCGTTTGGACAAGTATTTTATGAAAAATTTAGTCAAATTTTAACTAAAGATTCAGTTAATTTTGATATTTATACAAAATTACTACCAAGAGATAATTCAGGAACAAGTATAAAAGAAGAACAACGAGTGATCAGAAAGCTTTTTGACAACATGTTTGTTTACTTTTAATCCGCTAGAAAATATTGCCGACTAGTCGAAACATATGCTTTAGCACCAAAATTTTGTGTGCTCAGAAAGTTTGTCTTAGTTTTTGTTCGAGAGTAGAGAAAAAATCTTTGAAAGGCCTGACAAATTATTTTTAATGGCGAATCAGCATTTTTTTTACTTTATAGGTTCCTTTTGGAATATGCTAAAAATTATTGAACTGGGCCGTTTTGCAGAACGACACTACTCGACAAAATATGATATTGAACTAAGCTCTAGCTTTCGTCCAAGTCAGAGTGCGAGCATTTTTCAGGAGCTCCTATTGACTTAAAATGGTGGTCGATTTTTCAAAAATGAATATTTAGGAAAACTTAAAGTTGAGATGCTTTGCCGACGGACAGTAGAAGCGTAGTAGCGCAGCTCCTTTGAGACTAAAATGTAGAACTCACGCATTCCGTATAAGCTAGCAGATAATTTAGTCCCAAAAGCTTCAACTAGTGCATTTTGTAGGGTAGCTTCTGATCTACAAGTTGATATACAAAGAAAAGTTCTAACTTTTAGTTTCGAATCACAATAGTGTGTAGATAAATTTTCCATTCAAACAAATTTTTTGGTCATTTCATAAATTATTTCACTATTCTCGAGCACAATTTCGAAGTTCATATTGGAAAAGAGCATGAAATTCTGGTCCTTACTCATAGCTATTGACACAACGAGAATACTTTCAAGGGAGTCAAAACTGAACAAATATCTTGTTAGTAAAAAGCTTTCCAATTATCAGTTAGTAACTAAATAAATTAGAACATTTTCTTTTAGTTGCTTTTGATGAACCAAATCTTTATATATTATATGGACAACAAGGTGAAGCATCTTTATTTGGTGTTCGAGGATTTGTTGTATTGGTTAATGGTGGATTTAGGTAGGATATCTTCGAGAAAAACAACAATATTATTTGTTTCGAATTATTTGTTTTTTGTTTCAGTCGAATTCCTTCTTATTGGAATTTGATTCGAGGTTTACAAAATATTGATGCATGTATTTTAACACATTTTGATTATGATGTATTTCCTGGTTTACAAACAATTCTACATCGAAAAACCATTTCATCTAAACATGATAATCAATTATGTAAACCAGACATTGGTGCTGTTTTTCTTAATCATATTCAACGAACAAAAATACAATCAGTACAACATTCATCAAAACCATCATCAAATAGCAAATTATTAATTAATTTAAATGAAAATATTGATGAATTTTTAAATGATATTAAACAATTAAATATCGATACAATTGATTTAGTTAAAAACTCAATTCTTCATAAACCAAATATTGAACCAATAAATCTTTATAAAAAAATTGCATTTGGTTCACTTGATCTTTATATTTTACATCCAACAGCATCAATATCTGACGACGAAAAAATTCTTGCTAGTTTACAAAAAGTAAAAAGAAACAAAAAAAAACAATTAAAATGATTTCTGATTTGTTTAGATTCCGATTCGTGATCAACAACCATCATCTTCAATAATTCCATTTCATCATTGGTATTCATCATGTTTATTACTTGTTTGGACACCAAGTTCTATCTCAAGCAAGGATAGTTCAGTACGAATCTTATATACAGGTGCTTGCCCACAAACACTTGTCTTTGAAGCATTGAATAGAGCTCGACATCTTGAATTTTTACTGGAACCACAACAACAACAACAACAAAAAGCACGCACAAACAACATCAAAACAACAATGTCTACCAATACGAATACAGATGTTAAACAATCATCACACAAACCTAAGGTTTCTCCTCCAGTAACAGATCGAGTGGCATTATCAACAGTTCAAAGTAAAACACCAAAAGTTTTACCACGCTCTATTCCTTCTAAGCCGAAAGTTTCACAAACTAAAGTAATAAAATCTGAAAAACCTCGACCAACGCCAATAACAAGAAAGGTAATCAATCTGTTAAATAACGTGTCTCATAGTCTTTTATCGATGTTTTCGTCAATGCCCATTGCTTAGACTTGACGTTTATACCAGAATACTTCTCATTCGATTCTCTACAAATTTATATAAGATATTTCAGTATAAAAGTTAAGAGTCAAACTTTCTTAGCTAAAGAATGTACGATATATGCACATAAAATAGTTCGTAACATTATTTTGTCATTTTTCAGAGTCTTAGCTGTTGGACGTGCATACAGAAGTGCTTTGAAAAACTCTTTCTGAATGATACATCGAAGTTCATCTGCACGCTTTAATTGATGTGCAATCGGGCGTTTTCTTGTACCATTATTTGGAAGGTTTCGGTAAAAAAATTGGCATTCACTTTGAAAACTTCCTATGTCTATGTTCTATACTGAGTCTTTGCATTCAAGTATTGTCATTATTTTGAAAACAAAGGATCTTTTTGTTAAGTCTACGCACTGATCATGTGTGAAATTCAATATTTGTGAAAAAAAAGGTATTTGACGAGGATATCAACTTCAGTGATTTCACGTCATTTTATATGACTATACTTGAAAACTGAGACGATCATGATTAGGGGCATATCTAGTTCTACAGAAAATAAAACTAGCTGTTGAAAGAAAATTCCATTACAAAATCTGTCACTTCGGCATTGTGCACTTTTCAGCGCAAAATATTTATGCAAGGCAAAGTAATGTACATTGACGAAGATATTGAAAAAATACTGAGAGGGGCATTTATTCTGGAGCATCCATTATTTTATTGATAAAAACTATTGTCTTTTATAAATAGACACCTCCTCCGAAAGCTACTAGTCCTGCTCGATCAAATAATAAAGATAAAGAGACACAAAAACCTCGTGGAACTACCTCGAAAAGCTCTACTAAACCTAGCCAAATGAAAAATAATGTACAAAAACTAAAAACTCAAGATAACCAGAAGCAAAAATTAGATGTCCAAAATGAAGATCAAGAAAAATTAGATGTTCCAAATGAAGATCAACAAGAATTAGATGTTCAATGCGAAGATCAAGAAAAATTAGACGTTCCAAATGAAGATCAACAAAAACTAGATATTCAAAGTGAAAACCAACAAAAATTAGATACTGAAAATGCAGATGAACAAAAATTAGAAACACAAAATGATGAAATTGACCAGTCGAATGGAATTCAACGCGATCTTTCTTTTCAAAATGATAGCGAAGAACAAATACAACATGAAATATCACCTGATGAATTGAATGAAAACAATCAAATATTAATAGACAATCATGACGATGAAACTCAACAACCAGAATTAGTTTCATTAACAACTGATCATAATGAACCATTTGTTGAAAGTCATACTGAATTATCAGTAGATGAAATTCAACCTGAATCAGGTCCAGATGATCCAATGACAACAAGCTTTGTTGATGAAAATTCTAGCACAAAAAATCCATTGATTATTGAAAAAACTAATGATAATAATAACGATGAGGAAATGGAAATCATTCATCGTGATATATCACCAACAAATCAACATTCAATACCATCTATTGACGAAATTAATCCGCAAGGTTTACCAATTGAAAATGATGTTCGTTCAATAAAGCCAACAATTAAAAAACTAGGCAATGCATCAAATCGGTAAAATTTTTTCAAGGAAGAAAAGCACTTTTTTTTATTCAAATATTCCATTTAGAACAAATGAACCATCTAAATCAACAAAAAATACTAATCAAACAGCATCACAAAAATCGAAACCAACATCATTATCAAATGCAATATTCAATGTTGATGTTGCATATATTCCATTTCATGGTAATGAGCATTATGTTGATGAAGAATTTTTTCGTCGTGTACGTGCTCGTTATTATGTTTTAAATGCTGTACAAATAAATCGTCTTACACTAGAGTCATTACTTGATGGAAAACAACAATGGGAAAATAAAGAACACGCACCAGTAAATATATTATTTTTTTTTAATTTGGAAAATAAAATTCAACGATATTTCATTAAGGTTACTCTTGTACCGACATTTGATGGTGAACAATTACGACAATTTTTTGTTACAAATAGAAATCGCTTAGCAGAACTTAACATAAATATTCTTCCAGCATCAATTCGTTGTAATGTGCAATATGACAATGAAGGTTCACCATCACAACTTTTACGTTTTAGTTCAATATTTAATACAGATGAACAATGAACTTTTCTTTTTTTCGGAACATTTGCACTTTAGTCACCGCGCCTCTCACCTTCATGTAGTACCGTATGTGTAAAGCACATCAATCAATGTGAAGATGTGATTACAGTAAAAGATGAACCCTCTTCTTCTTCTTCTTCTTCTTCTTCTTATAAACAAACATTTGTATGGAATTTGTTTTCTTTTAATTTTGTCCTTTCGTTATTGCTTTAAGACGTTGTTTACAGAAAAAAACAGTTAGATTTTTTATGCATTAGGCGCAATTTTTTTATAATTTTAGTGGCATCTGTTATTTTTTCTCTCCGTTACATGCATGACATTTATGAATAATAAAAAGGTTGGATTTCTTTTTGTTGTAAGGAAAAATGTAAGCATGTCCATCGATTGTGTATGGTAAAATCCTCCTCGAATTAGGAAACCCAGGGTCTTCTAATATGTCCGAGCATATAAACTCCATAGGAGCGTCTTCTAATGCGACTTTCATGCAAAATTTTTGAAATAGCTTTCTAAAAAAAGATTTATATTTCATATTGCTTTTTTCACAAAAAATACTCTTGTAAACGCCTACTTATCAGATTATTTAGTAATGAGTAATGATGTACTCATGTGGTGCTACTGCTATGGATGATCTGTTTCATGAGATATGACTGAAAAGAGTGATGAAGTATGTAGGGAACAAAATGTGAATCCACACTCTTGTTGACACGCGATCGAAGACCATATATCACTAACATCTCATTAGAATATATGGACTACTTATTGCAATTCAAGAGAATTGAGAAAAGAATGATGAAGCGATGTGTCCCAAAATAAATAGAATAAAACAATTTTCATGTGATTGGCAATAACGCCTACATCGTGCTGCACATTTTACTCCCATAGATATTGCGCTAGCAGCTTTTTCTATTGTCATCAAAACAGCGCTTATCCGATTAGATTTCTGTAACGGTCTTAAGTTTCGTCTTCTGATAAAATGTAGATATCGATGGAAGTATCCGAACATCTATCAAAAATCTCGAAAACATAGAGCTGTACACACTCATACTGAAAGCATTACCAAAACGCTTTAGATGCGAGAAACGATCAATTAAAATATATCATTTATTAGAAGACTATCTAAAATAAATGTGATAATTATAAGCAATCACATTGAATTTTTATAGTATTTCTAACTAAAATCTTATTTATGAGCTGCTATCAGTATAGTTAGCCATGTTGATGTTCTTGTCCCACTACGAATTGGTGCAAAATTTGACTCTCACACTATAATAGCTCGAAGTACCAAGAAAGAATTGGTAAACAATTCAACAGACCTTGCCAGACAGCTGAAGTTCAGAATTTGAACTTATCATTGAACTCTTTTTTGCTGTAACTGGTATAATCTCTCGTGGGAATAGTAAAAAATATAATGATATATAGAGAACAACAGTGTTTTTGAAGGAGCATGCTATTTTATGCTACTTCTGATTCCCTTTCAATCGATAGGAAGTATCTTCCGATCATCTGACAAGACTCAAAACCTTTTGACGGTGTAGTTTGATATGAAAATAAAAAACAATTTCAGCAAAAATTTGTTGAAATTTTTCCTTGACCGAATTAGAAGACCCAGTTCTTCTAATATGGGAAATCTTCTAAGGCAGGAAGGGATCTACAGAGTACTCAAGCAGATCTTTAATGGTCACAAAGACGTTTACATGCTTTTTCCAAGCATTTACAGTGTTATAACGCATGTAATCGTGTTTATCGACAAAATTTTATAGTAAACGCCTCTTAATAGTTTATCTTACAAAATTCAAAGCGAAATTTGTTTCAAACGCCTTAATATTGTATTTTTTTCAGAAAAAAACTGGTTTAAACTATTTTTTCCGTTTAGCTGTGATTATCAAAAAATAAGTTGTAACTTGAAAAATTATATCATTGTTACATTCTCAGTGAGTAGTGTCTTTATCGCATACTACGTAGTTTGATTGACTTTTTTCAGCTGATTTTTTTATTTGACAGATGACACCATTAAGGTTTTATTTCTATCGGCAAACTATGAAAGTACTGCTTAAAGTAATCACCATTAGTCTTAACTTTAAATTTTGATTTCTCTTTATGACGATACATTAAAACAAATCTTGTAAAGCGATTGTTCTGGGTTTGAATAGTTTTACGATCCGAATAATTCTAGAAATCGAAGTAATTAAAAAAGGGACGTGTTACGAAATATTCTTATGAAACGAGAAAAAATGTTGAATTTTCGTATCTTGCCTGGAGATAATAACTTTGAAGAGCACTCTTACACTTGTCTATAGAAATAAAAGCTTGATGGTGTCACCTATCATATGAAAAAAGACAGTTGATAAAAGTCAATAAATGAGGTTATGCGAAAAAACGTTTTTGGGTATAGACTTTCGAGATATCTAGTGCATTTGTTAATTCATCGTTTCCATGAAAACTTTATTAATTATTATCAGGCGTTTTCATCAAAAACATTCAAATCGCTAGCAATGCTTGATTAGTCGCCAAAACGTGTCAAAAAAATTATAAATCTTATTCTGATTCTAAGAGTTTTTGGCAGCTAATTAAACATTTTTAACAGTTTTCCTGTTGGAATGTTTAAACACCATTTTGACCGTTATCCTGTCTGCTTAGGTAGGGTAAAATTAGACGTGGATTTAGAGGAAGGATTTGTTTTAAGGAACTGAACGTCACCTAAGTTTTCTCTTTCTTGAAGTCGTCTGTGCTAGAGATGTTATGAGTTCAGGCTTTTCAAGATTTAAACCAAAACCAAAGTTGGTTTAGCATACTGAGAACTGAACTGCGAGACCAAGATCGGTTTGAAAACCTGCGAATCGAATTGATCCCATCTCTGGTATGTACAGGGTAGGAAATAATATTATTCAAGGGTGGTATCGCTATAATTTCAAATGGAAGACATGATGGATTTTATATCAAGTAAAAGCTCGTCGAAAATGGGATATATTGGCACTAAATAGTGAAGGTTATGAAATCATTTTAAGGTCAAACTTAAGAAATTTTCAGAAATTTTATACTTTTCTTGGGGTGGAAAATTAAGGTGTCCGTAATTCAAAATGAAATAAACTGTTTTTCTTGGATACTTTTACATGGTTCGATAGAGCTCGTTGAGGTCTACAAAACTACATATATCAAAAAACTTTTAAGGCAGGTTTTTGTGATTAAAAGCTCAAAAACCTACTTGGGAAATCTTAAAAAATGTTAAAAATACTCATTTTTTATATGAAAGAAAAACACTCGATTTTTCAATCAAATTAGCTTTTTTTATCATTTTTACTATCTCAGACGTTTCATAATATAGTCGTTTAATGCAGCATGAAAAACTGCACCAAATGAGTGTATTTTGAAACGTCTGAGATAGAAAAAGTGATTAAAAAAACCTAATTTGATTGAAAAATCGAGTGTTATTCTTCCATATAAAAAAAGAGTATTTTTAACATTCCCTAGTCGACTCTTCCTAATCAAATTCCCGGGGAGTCCCCACCTTTTTAGAAAATTTCGATCAAATTTTTAGGGTTTAAATGTTGCAGGAGACTCATTAGTAACTTTTTGAAGGGTCCCTGCTAATGGTTATGAACTCCCCCAAAAGTCCCCAGAGAGTTCCCGTAAAATTTTCCGGGGATTTCCTAGGGAGTTCCTGAAGTTTTTCTAAATTCTCCATCAACTCCCCGGGGATTTTATTGGGGAAAGTTGACTAGAGTTTTTTAAGATTTCCCAAGTAGGTTTTTGAGCTTTTAATCACAAAAACCTGCCTTAAAAGTTTTTTGATATATGTAGTTTTGTAGACCTCAACGAGCTCTATCGAACCATGTAAAAATATCTAAGAAAAATAGTTTATTTCATTTTGGATTACGGACACCTTAATTTTCCACCCCAAGAAAAGTATAAAATTTCTGAAAATTTCTTAAGTTTGACCTTAAAATGGTTTCATAACCTTCACTATTTAGTGCCAATATACCCTATTTTCGACGAGCTTTCATTTGATATAAAATCCATCATGTCTTTTATTTGAAATTATAGCGGTACCCTCCTTGAATAATATTATTGCCTACCCGGCACAATATCAACATCGAATGAATTTATTTAATATATTTATCCTGAACATTAATAATTCATCAAATATTGATCATTGAATTAATTTGAGTATAATTTTATGCGAAATATTCTTGAATAATTAACTGCTTATTTTTGATGCTTCATCGGGCAACGACTTTCTTGATAATAGTATTCTTTACAAAACTACTCTATTAACATTATATATATATATATATTTACAATTCATTTCACTCTTAAACAATTCTTATATTATTGCAGCAGCAAAAAAAAACTGTATAGAACATCTTTTTTTTTTCGTCAATTGGGAAGAGTGTTATGATTCGTGTAGTTAAGGCTTTCCCCCTCCCCTCGAAGAAGGTCACTTTTCGTCAGAATGATCGAAATTAAGATAAACGCAGGGAGAAATAGCCCGTGATTTGATCTCTCATAAACGACAACAATTTTTACTCGGCACCTCGTTTTCCCCAAAAACTTTTGTAGATTTCCGTCATCCCCTGTTCGAAAGATAAACTGTTTTTGGAAAAACCCGAAAATCTTTTTCGTTTTTCCTCAGTTCATGATATATCAAACGCGCAACTCAAATTTCTCAGTCCAGGTCCATGTGATGTATTTTAATTTTTTTTGTTTGAAAGAGCATGTCAAGATGCAGTGCATGATAGAGTCCTTTTTTTTTAAATTAAGCTTTGTTTTTATTATATATATAGACATTTATATAATTAGAGCGCCATTTTTAGTGTTTTTTGAGTCATTGAACTTGTGATCCCTTTTCTGCACTTAAAAAGGAAGAATTAAAAAAACGAGCTCTATCATGCATTGCATCTTGACATGCTCTTTCCAACAAAAAAAATTAAATATATAGAATGAGACTGGACAGAGAAATTTGGGATGCCAAATCAGATATTTTTGACCCTTGTTTGGTCAATATCTCTCTCGAACGTCATGGTACATGGCTGAAAATTTTATCATACCTTCGTCACTCTAGGCCTAACATATCCTGAAAATTTCATGCAATTTGAACATACCTAGGCTGAGAACGGTTTTTGAGGGGGGGGGGGAAGGTCTTAACACGAGATTATATTGTTTTTAGGAAATATCTTCTTTGCTTTTTCTTCTCTTTGTTCACTTTTCTCTCTTCAATTTCTCTTTCTCTTTTCTTTATTCTTTTTTATTATCTATGAAAGGCGCGTTTTCATTTTTCTTGTCTCTGTTATGAAAAAATTATAAGCGTTTGTCCTTAACAATCATTTCTTCTTTTAGAAATATTTTTCTGTTTTTCGCAGCAGAAAACGCCCAAAAATTAGGCAACACAACTTCTAATGGACTTCAAAATACGTTTTGTGACCTTGATTGCTTCTCTCTTTCTTTAAATCCAAAATCTGCTGCTATATAGTAAAATGAGATTTTTTTTTCGTTCTCTCCTGTATCTCGGCAGAACGTAGACAGTTTATTCTGTAATCATATTCAGTGTTGTATTGTAGAAAGAAAGACGCAGAATGTCAATTATGTTTGCCTTCAATTCCAAAATAATTGTGTCATTGATAAATTTTATAATGAGTTTATTACAAAACAATCGATTTCGTCTTTTAATTCTTGGTATTATAATTATATTTCTAATCAAATTTAATTTTACTGATAATAAAATACAAAATAAAAATAACGTCCAACAAAAAGAAAACTTATGTAATCGATCAATGATTGAAAGTGATCAATTGATATGTGAATCAGATGAAAAATGGCAACAAAGACGTGACTTTTATTCACAACAACATGATAAAAATATTTTGACAATGAATGAATATGAAAATTATTTTTATAAAAATTGGTTTCCAGAATTTCAATGTCAAAATGAAATACGACTTGGCCAAGGTGATGGAGGCAAATGGGTAAAATTTTATACAAAATTTTGTGTTGATAATCTCTGATGTCTCCTACTCATTCAGACGAGACTGTTGAAAAAACACGTTAAAACGCATTAAAATAACGTCGTTTTAACGATTTCTTCGTCGCATTAAAACGCGTCTGGATTCGTCTCTTGAGATTAGCTTAACTGCAGAATTTTTAATTGATGCTTTTGACGGTCGAGTTTTCTTAGAACCACTAATGTTCTTGATTTTTCGTCTTCACATCAATAATTTATGAAAGTTGTGTTAGATTATATTATCAAAAAATGATAAAGAATAAAATAGTTCGTGATTTTCATTACTGTTGGAGAAGTCGATTCAATTTTTTTTTTAATTACTGGTTTTTTGTATAGGTCATCAAGAAATATTAGCTACTCTTGTTCAAATAAAAGCTCGAATATGTTATGATACATGTATACATTTGTTTTGCACAGATCTTGAGTTTCATTGAAGAAAAATTCAGATTATTATTTTGAAAAAAAGCAATAATTTATAGAAAATTTATTTAATAGAGTATAGACTAAAACACGTCACAAAAAATTCATTCTTGAACAACTTGTTTGCGTTTTTAATGAATAAAAATGCTTTCAAGGTAGGTCTAACAATTTTTTTTTCGATGAGTTAAAGGAGAGGTATACAATATATTTGAAGTAACATTTTTCACGCAGATAATTGAAGAAAAATTTAAATTCATTATGGAGACATTGAAATTAAAAAAAATATTTTGATGAATTTTATTTGTCTAACCTATGTTAACAGAATGTTTTAAGTTTTCATGCATCGTTGTCTGTTTTCGAATAATATAATGAGCAGAATATCCTGGTTTGAAATAATTTTGACTATTATCACGTCGCCATTCTGAGAAAATGTTTCAAGTTCGAAAACAATGTTTTAAATGATCCAGCCGTTTATGAACAGGTTCAAATGTATTTTTCATTTTTTTCTTCTCAGTTCTTATCAGATTAATTTTTTTATTCTTGTACTATTTTGATTAACTATCTCATTCGTTTCCATGATTCACCCAATCAATCATGCATTCGTTAAATGATAGTGCCACTTTTGTCTTTTNCTGTTATCTTCACAAACACTTTTTTGTCGTCAACAATCTGAATTCATCCGCCGCTTAATAATTGAGCTAACTGATTCGATTTTGTTCATTGAAAATTTTCATATTTAACGCTATCATTTATTTCTTGCTTTTTTTCCAATTATCGAATAATTTCATAACTCAGTTTTTTTTCTCTTTCATGTTAAGCTTAACCCTTTGGTGGCGAATCCCGTAAATTTACGATTTCAAAATTTAGTAAGAGAAAAATATCCTTAGTTATATTAAAGCAAAGTTTTTTCGCATACTTTGCCCTTAAATGTACGTGTTGTCAGCAACGACTTTATGCCTTAGCGCTTTATACAGTATACTGGGTTCTAAACCAACTAGACTTACTGCTAGACACTTTTCATCTCTTGTATCTCAAACAACCGACAGAAAGATCTTCAAAAAATTTATATTGTATGTGCTCATACAAATAGAAGACAAAAAGAGAAAAGGTTCATCTAATACGCGTAAAGATTGTAATGTGAGCCTTTGCGTGATTGGCTGCTTTGAGAAATTTCAGACTTTATTGCATTTTTAGTTGTTTTCTTTTCATATTCTACATGGTAGTTATGTTAGAGATTTTGTGTATTTGTTTTGTTCTTGTTATTCGAAAACAAACCAGGTATATCTTCAGACCAAGACTCAGTAGAATAATTATAATCTTAAATAATATTCAAAGTATAATGAATTTTGACAATAAAATTTCATTTCCTTTTCAAAAAAACACAAACTTCGTCGTCAAAGGATTAAAAGCAAGAAATATATGGGAATAGGTTACCTTTTTCTGTTATTATCTTATTAGGCAAATAATTATAATAAATATGAATATCAGATATAGCAAGATATATGCTACGTACTGTTTTTCTTTATTTGCATATTCATTTATATACATCATTTTTGCAGTGGAAGACAATTCTACCGTTTATAAGCATTTTTATTTTTGCAACAAAACAATAAAAAGCAAAAGGAAAAAATGATAATAATAATCATAGTGATAGAAACGAAGAAAAAAAATGAAACGACAATTATCATAATGGTTAACTAACTAACTTTTCAAAATGTCGTATTTATATATATATATATATATGTAAATATAAATTTAAATCCATTATGAGAGATGCATAAGAGTCCGCATGATAGGTGGTACTTGACATATATCTATTTTTTCATTAATATCTTGTTGAATATCACGAAAAAGTGCTTGAATTAATAAACATTTACTGATTAGTGTTGTGAAAATTCTAATAGTTTGAGTTAATCCATAATGTTGTTCCAAAAATATCCATAATTGTTCAACATAAGTATTTTGTGCATGAAATACTTGTCGATAATTATTTAAACATGGTTCTTGACAGTTTATCAAATTTGAAAGGCCTTCTGAAAAAAGTAATATAACAAATGTTAATTGCATGATTCGTCTATCTAGTTGAACAATTGAATGTAATGAACGCATTATTAAAGTACAACGTATATGAATATCATGTCCATGTGCTTCACGAATATCACTGCCATACAGAAGAGTATCATTTGAAGGAATACCTTCATGATAAATATCATTAAATGGATCATATCTAAGAATACAAATAAAAAAAAAAAGATTAGAAATATTTGTAAGTATGTCTTACCCAAGAGAAGCATGAAAAAAGAAAATGAAAGGTAAATTATTTTTTACAAGATTTACTTTATCAATTTCATTTAAAGCATCAAATTCCAATAATCTTTTATAAAAACTAATAAGACGTAATGCTGTAGTATTTTTTGTATTCAGTATCTGATATAAAGCAGTAATTTTTTTTGCTAATGGATATGACCAACCATAACTTGTAGGATCTAATTTAAAACCATCATTAAAAGCTGTAACAACATTTTCAATAAAATCTATATTTCGTCTAAACAATGTTGACCTTGATGAATATATATTACTTTTGTTAAGTACAATATTTTGTAAATCTAAATCATGTTTTTCACTTAAATTTATTGCTTCTTTAAAATTATCTTTTGATAATAATGATTCATTCGTATGAGTTAAACGAAGTCGTCTATTTTCTTCAATACGATGTTTTTTATTAAGTTTTTCTTCTTCAGTTAATATCCATTCTTTACGCATGCCTATTCAAAATATATATTTATCAATAAATATACAAAGAAAAATATCATACCAACGGCAAAACATTTTTTTAATCGACATGATTTACAACGACGTCGCGTTTCTAATGTTATTTCACAAGCACCATCACGACGACACTTCAATCGGTCCTTAATAGTAAAAATATTTGAAAGAATTGAATTCATCTCTTTTTTTTATTTGTTCTGTTTACCGTGTTAAGAAGCGCGTTTCGCCGAAAAAATGCTTTACAAGATTCACATGAAATGGCATCAAAATTGTATCCATGTGCTGAACCACGACAAACTATATTTTAAAAAAATTAAAATAAAATTAATTTATGATAAAACAAAAAAATAATTGTCTAATATGGAGAAGAAATATGATTTCTTTTTGTGATTTTTCATATTGAAAGTTATTTTAATGCTATCCTTTTTTAACAATGTATATTAATTGACATGCAATAAGAGTGAACGGAAAAGTCTTTTTTTTCCTTTTAGGACATTTCTTTTTAAAAATATTGCCACTATGATTATTAAAGGCATTTGAATAATTATCTACACTGTTCAAAAATTTAAAAGATGAGATTTGTTTTTCATGATTGAAATAAATATGAATATTTAGAAAACAAAATATCGATATGAATTAAAAGAAAAATAATAATTAGATCAAACATAGAAAATATTATTTCTTTTTAAGAAATAATATTAAACTATTAATAGCAATAACTTCATAGACCTAATCGCATGTTTGAATAGCAAAAGATAAGCTTTTTGTTTTTTGCTTTTTGTTTGATGTCAAAAACTGAAAATATTGAAAACACATGAAAATAATTTACCGACGCAAAAAAGATCAGATTTTTTCCGTGATTGACTATTTGCACATCTTGTTGCAAAAGGCATTGAACAATCTGTCGACGTATTGGATGCGTACATCTCTTGTGAAGCACGAAGTCGTCGTTTTCGATTGTGGCACACTCCTGATGACGACTATTCTCGTATAAAGAAAAAAACTGATTAGATTACACATTAATGTCTATTTATTACAAGAAGTTTGTAATGATTTCTCATAGAAATATTCTACTTGGAATAGAAACTATGTATCATATGTGATTAAAAAAATGATAAATTCTACGAAAAATCTTGTTTAACATTTATTATCATTTGGAATACGCAAATAAAAGTTTCTTTTTTACATATTCAAACTATAGTTAAGTGATTCTTTTCTTTCTTTTCAAGGTTATTTATAACATTTGTAGTGAAAAGTTAGAAATAATAGACAACTTAAGGAGCTTATTTTGTCCAGCTGTTTCAGCATCCTTCGCATATGTCTGTTGCATATTATTCAGTAACATTCTTTCAACATGGTTATTGTTCAGATTAGTTGATCGACAGCTAGTAGTAGATTGTTAGTTTTTTTATGGGACCTTATATATTATCCTCATAATCACTGCATTTTAAAAATGACCTCGTTTACATTGCACTGTATATAAGCAGGTCTAAATAAAGATATAGGTGTGTAACAAATGATGGCCTGTCGTATGATTTGACGCATGATTTTTTTCATTGAAAATATTCACACCTGCATAAGAACATAAACAACAAGGGAAGTATTATTATTGGTTTATATCAAATGAATTGTACAATTTAATTATTCCGATGAAAGAAGAAAAAGGCGGTGAGACTTTGTCGATAATGCCTTTTCTGTTAAAGTAATAAAATGATCTTTGTAAAAAAGTACCTTAAAAATTTTTTTGTGATGAATAATAATTTCAAGAAATCTGTGTCGATAAATCAGCATATGACAGTTAGTCTTTTTTGTCTCACTTTTTCTTATTCTCAATTATTCTTACTTACGTTCCCTTCTTTATTGGCCATCGTGAAAGGTTGATGTTGTTTCTATGTGTATGTGTGTGTGTGCATTCGCACGCATACAAGGATACCCCCTGTGTTAGATGTACGAAGAGAGCACAAACAGAGACGACGAAAAAGAAGAAAGAAAAAGAAAAAAAGAAAAAAAACAAAACCGGTTACCGAACGACATCAAGAATAACAGCTAACGAGAAAAGAACTGCTATCAAAGGACATTAGCAAAGAACCGTAAGGTCACTGGGTGCCGAGAAAAACTAAACTTAAATTTCCTTTTTTATTTGGAATTTTGCCATTGATTCAAATAATTTAACTTTTTTTATATTACATCATATGGTTTACTACTTTTTTCCTCTGTTTTGGTCATATACTACATACGATAGCAAAAGAAAAGTGTATTCTTCAAAGGGCATAGGTACTTTTGCAAGCGCACTTTACGTACTAACGACGAATCATAAATTTGTAGATTCCATATTTAATCTTATGGAAAATGTAACATGCTTTTCGAAAAGAATTAAATAAGAGGTGATGGACATATGCAAACACTGACATACGAGTCTACTTCTTATCGAAATAAGAATAATAAAGAACGAATAAAGTTACTTATGCATATGTGTGAAGATAAACGGTAGTGCACTTAGTTGTTTATTTTTTTAATATAGCTGATGATTATTGATGCTCTTGAAACGTAGTTGTTAACGAAAACGACTAGTAGTACTAATAAAAATTAAATAAATTTCTATATCCGATATGTGTGAATTTTACGCTAAGAATATAGCTGATATATTTTAGATTATAAGATAAATAAGAATACAAATTTGTCATTTTACGTTCTTTACTCAATTGATAGAGTCCAAAAAATACTAACTACTAGTCTTCCAATACAGCCAACAAATAAAGATCAGCGTGACATAGCTAAGTGCGATAAAATAAAAGGAATTTCGCTTGATAGAAAGAAAAAAAGGGATGTGAAGAACTATTTGTAGACGCCTCTTACTCTGATTGACGACAGACGAAAAGGAAAGAAAAAGAAAAAAAAAGAAAAATACTCCTAATCAAAAAACCTTCTTTTTCCTTCGCTTTTAAAAAGATATTACGATCATGTTTGATTCTAATAAATAGGACATTTTTTTATTACTATGATAAACTACAAAAAGAAATAGATTGTTTTCTGAAATATTCAAACGAGCAGTCTTAATTCTAAATTAATTTCCCTTTTTTAAAATTTTTACACGAAATATTGTACTCAATAGTCTTTGAATACGTTTATCTACAGGACGAGTTCAAAAAGCAAGGTAACGCAGTATTCTTCTCGGTTTCTTCTTTATACATAGTCAGTTCGGCCTTATGTTTGCACTACATATAATAGATTATATTAGTAAAAGATGTAACAGACGCTTAGTCTTTGAGTGCAGTGATTTGTTCAAAAATGTACAAATAATTGGTATTGCCAGTCGATGAATATCAGAGACATTTAACGTGTTTCGATTTCCATAGTTTTGTCTGCTTATCCCAATCTGTGAAATGAATTCAATTTAGTTACATTATGTACTGATCTAGTCTTAGAGAGGTCAAAATTAATTACATTGAATTCATTTTACAGATTGGAATAAGCAAACAAAACTGTGAAAATCGAAAAACATCGAATGTCTATCATAGTGATCGACTAGCAGTAATAATTATTTGTACAGTTTTGAATAAATCACTGTACTCAAAGACTGAGCATATGTTACATCTTTTACTAATATCATCTATTATACGTAATGCAAAGTTAAGACCGAACTGACTCTGTACAAAGCAACAATCGAAAGAATACTGTGTTACCTTACTTTTGGACCACCCGCTATTTGTGATTTATTTATCACGATGTATAAAAAGAAACGAAGCCAAGCAATCGTTTGTTTTCAGAAGATTGTGTTTTTATTATTTATGAAATGTAATATGAAAATTAATTCAAATATAATTTAATATTTATAGATTAAATCTCTGATAATGCAAAAAAATTGGTTTTTCTGTTAGATAATTTATTGTACAATCAGATTGTATAGGTTGTAGAGTAGAAGATCAATTTTATGATACAATTTCTTATTGAAACTCATTAAGATACTTCATTATTTGTTACAATAACCATTTCTACTTCAATTCTGATGCTATAGTATCTAATATAAAGCGAATGCTTGAAAATGTCGAACACTCACTTTCATCAACAACGATGTTCTAGAAACAGAACTTTTTTTTATGATTCGATAGGAAATTTTCTCTTCTTTTTAAACTAAATATATAAATTTCTTTTATTATATATTCACACACTAAAATGACATGAATAAAAAAAAGAGAAACATTCGTATAATAATATTTTCTATTTTATATGGTTTCCTTAAATAAGATCTTGTGGACAATAGGTAATTCGATTTCTTGTAAATACATTAAAACAAAAAGTCAATAAAGATAACACATTGACTTAGTTTTTTTGAACTATGTAAAATAGAATTTATCAAATAGCAGTTAATTGTAATTAAAGTGTTAGCTTACAATGTTTTTGTTAGATTGATTCGTAGAAAAATCGTAAATTCGTGTTGCGAATGTTTTTCTTTTTTATCGTTTTACTCATGAATCTATATACAAAAAGATAATGCATAAAGCTAAACAGAGAAAAAATTTCATAATCAACTTGTGGAAAATTATTCATCCCACAGATGCATACATAAGAGGTATATGAGTTGCTATTTTATGCCATCACGATGAAGAAAGAGTATAAATTACTTTTTTAAGGTGTTTTCCTTCCTGTTCGTGTCATTTGGCTTATGAGTATATGAATAAAATGTAAATAGTACATCAATCGAAAAAAAGAGAAAATTTTCCTTTTTGAAAATGTACTCTTCGATTAAATATAGGTGTCGATGTTTTGTGTCGTTACTTTTGCACTGCATAGAATAAGACTTCAAGATTAGAGAGAAAATAATGGAGAGGAGAGCTTTCTCTAGAAGATTTCTAAAATTTCTGTTTTTTTTTTAATGTTTTACAATCTTATGAAAAGTATTGACAGAAACGTGCATCGTAGAATCCTAACAAAGTATAGGAGGAGAACGTAATTGTTTGAACGACTCTTTCGCTAGGATTCTGATAGACGATGTGATCCATGCAGAAAGCAGGTCTTTGTTTCTAATAGAAAGTTATATGAAAACATTTTTGTGCCGAAAAAAACTCTCACAAATAGTCGATAAATAAGTCCTTGTTCTGTGTCTGCTATAAAGTAGAATCGAAGAACTTTCTGTTGAATTTCTAGTCCCTCTCACTTTCGAAAATAAGTGAAAATCTTG